TTTTCTATTCGTCGTAGTATATATATATATATATATATATATATATATAAATGAGTGTTCAGTTGCTTGAGCATCCCTTTAAAAAAGGGTATTCTTTCCTTTTGTCTGGTTTACGCGTGTATGTATGTGTTTGTGAACGTTTTCTCAAAAGCCTCACCAACAACAGCAAACCCACAACACTCACTGCCATTCATATTTCTCTTGCCGATGCAATTGTTTTTTTTTTCCTTTCTCGTTTTGCACTTCCGCATTGCTCAAAAAACTTTCTGAGGTGGCCGTGCCACAATGCAAAGACGTCAAGTGTTCCATTCAAAACAGCGTGTTGGTCGGGGCAGACCGGTGGTGATGCACCACTCGCATGGAGAACACACCGTGCCACCGCCACACGCAGTCAGCGAAATACCCCGTCGCACTCGTGGGTTCACGCAAACACTCACACACGAGGGAATCAACGGGATAAACACGAAGACATACATAAAAAAAATTTTTTTTTTCTCAACTGGGGGACAAACGTCCGTTCTTTGCTGTCTGCATCTGCATCTGTTTCTTTTTTTTTCTTTTATTTTTTCGCCCTCAAATAAAATCCCTTCAGCTCACACGCCCGCGTCTACAAACGCTGCTGTCGGTCTTTTCCTGAGTGGAAAAAATAATAATTGCGGAAGCTCCTTTTGTGGTAGTTTCGTGTCGTTTGTTTCTGCTCGTTTTGAGATGACCTCGATGAGGTGCATGTGCCCACAGCGTGGGGAGTAGGAGTCCGAGCGATGAGAAACACGTGTGTTCAACGCACGAAAAAGGTGTGCGGCTCTTCGAGCCGTCGAAGCAAAAACAGCAGCAGAAGAAAGAGAAAAAAAAAATCGCAAAAACAAAAAAAAAGGGCCTTCACGTTCGTGATGCCGGTTGTGTAGAATCGCAAGCCCAAAAAACAAGAGAACAGGCAGTGGGTTGAGGGAGTGCCGGAGAGATGGAGCAAGCCGAAATGAAGCAACAACCTTAAGAGTAACAAAAAGCCCACTGTAGTGATTCTCGAAGGTGCTTTCTGTGCACGACCACAGAAACATGGGGTGGAACAGTGCACTGGCGAAATGTGAGCGGCGTATTTCCTGGGAGACACGTGTGTGTGTGTGAGGGGGAGGGGGCGAGGTGACATTGAAAAACATCCAATACCGTTGGAAGAAGAAAACAACAACCACCACCACCACCGGCAGCACCACCGTTGCAAAGGCATAAGGAAAAAAAAAAAACAAGTAAAACATTCGAATTACACACCTCATTCCTAGCTCTATAACGGCTTTCGTTGCTGTGTTTCTCCTCGGATCATCACGGATGGCTGCCATCCCCCATATCCCCCATCCCCCATCAACGACAATAAACTGACGATTCACTCCAGACTTGTGTTCGCACTGAACACGGAGACCGGCATGAAAGAAATACACACACAGCAAAAGACAAGCGGATGCAATTCACACGCAACTATCGCTGTGGTGTGCCGTCCGACACACCACAGGCATACACTCCTCCAACCAATTCCCGTCATATTTCAAGCACCCATACACACACGGATTTTATTTTCTGCATCTCCCCTTCTTCATGCCAAAAAATCGCCACCGCTCACTTGAGGGTCTTACTCTTCTCATTCGGCTATTCGCTATCTCGTTTCCACAAGCAAATGTTTTTGGAGGTTGAAATACTCCGACTTCACCATGCACCACCCCACGCTGCAGTATGGCAAAAGAAAACACACACAAAAAAAAAAAAAACAGCTCGCACTGCCGGAAAAAAAAACACACAACCAAAAATTCAAACGGAACAACACTTTATAAATATGTATGCCCCCAGCGCCGACTGTTTAAAGGCGATGACGGTGATGGTAGCGGCGCGCCCCGACCTTTTCTCCATGCTTGTGCATTTGCAAGCGCCCATGAGGAGGCAGGCAGGTCGGGTACAAAACACACACGTATGCGCCCAAACTGCAGGCTCTCGGCCTGTTGCCACTGGCCGGTGCTGCGAAGGCAGAGGCACTTTGAGGCTGCAGGGCCTGAAAATAAGAAAAAACACTCACACAGACGTAAAGAAATAAAATGATGGAAACAACAACGTAAACACACTCAAGTAGGCAAAAACACACAAGATAAAGTAAGAGAGATAAAAAAAAAAACGCAATAAAAACAAACAAAAAAAAAGATAGGAACTAAAAAAAAAAAAAAAAGGAAGAAAATCCAGCCAAAGATAAAAGTGACAACGCGCGGAATGGGGCCCCACCTTCGAGTTTTTCTAAGCCAAATGTGAATCGAGGTGAGGACAGTGCACAAGCAAAAACGTCTCTATAGCTTAAGGGTAAATTCGGGCCAAGTGGTGCGACGGTTGCACAACAACAAGTAAACGGCTCATTCGGATGAGATGAGGAACACTGAGACGAAAACACACCAAAGAGAAAAAAATCAAATAAAAACAAAGCGATTTGTTTGGGTTTGTGACGGATTGGGCGTTTTGATTCACAAAAATGAGGGTTGACGTATCGGCACACACGTGAGGAAACCACATCCATGCATTCTTCGGGTCTTCATTCATTTCCAATTCCCCCTCCTCCCCTCTTTTTCTCTCCCCGCCTCGCTTCACGACACACTCCCTCAAAAAAAGAAAAAAAAATTGCACCGAAATTAGGGGTCAACGCAAATATGTTTCTTGCGAGACACATCCTTGTTTCTGTTCCCTCTTCCATTCTTCTGCTCCAATAAATCAACTCCAATTCGCACCCAAAAAAATTGTAGAACTCAACCCGTCCACCCGATTTTCCATCATGCTCACTTTTTTTTTTTGATTTATTCTTAAATTCCTCATTGGGTCACTCACACAGTCGCCAATCTAGGTCCTTTTATTTCAACGTACCGCCCCAAAAATAAATTAGCGTACAAGTGTTTACCATCCCCTCCACTTTTGCTTTTCTTACAGTTCCTCGTTTCGTTTCACTTGTGCTGTTAAGTTTAGTTTCCGCATTTACTTTTACCCCTCTTTTTGTTTTTTTTTTTTTTTTTTGGTACAATACAGTATAATTTTCCCTCAACATTTTCATAAAAGATGTTTTTTTTTTTCTTCGTTCGTTTTGGTCTGTCTCTTCCTTTCCTTCCTTTAAACGTATGCATAGGCATGTTTTGTGTGCTATCTGTCTCCTCGGTTCCACTGAATTAGTGCTCGGTGATGGCGTTTGTTTCATTTCAATGACACTCTTAAATTGGATCGTGGATTATGCTCCTTCCCCCTCCCCAGCTACTCTTCTTTAGTTTTCGAACAACACTCCATTGAAGTCGTAGGGATTATGTCGGAATCGCGACGGGTAGGCAGGCGGCAGCATGATCTCCGTCTGGTGAGCTTCCGAGTATGGTGGCGGTGGAGGCAATTCAGCTTCCTCCATGCGCACTGTGGATGCCTCGGGATCACCGTGAGAAAACGCACAACGCTCGCCAAATGGACAAGGGATCCCCATCGAAAAATTGCGGCACACCCGCGTCCGGAACTTGCTGTAGTCCACACCCCTTCGGCCGTAGCGAGAGGCATTGTTAAACCCGACGCTGTTCTCTGAGCGCTCGTCGGATAACGTGGGCGAGTGTGGCTGCATCGTTCTTAAAATGTTGCTTGAGTAAAAAAGCGAACTTGTTCAAAGGAGTACTTGCCCGTCTTTGGTATAGTTGTTGGGCGTAAAGTAAAATAAAGACGCAACAATGAAGAGGAGTGCACCTACCATACCAGGGGCGCCGCAGGCAAACCACGTACATCAATAGAGGTGAAACGAGAACCAGAAAGGCAAAAAAAAAATAATAATAATAATAATAAAAACATGCTTCAGGCAAACCACTCCGCATAATTTGTTCAAGCGCCCAGAAAAAAAAAAAAAAAACAATAACAACAACAAAAAGCAAAAAGGAAGCAAAAAAAAAACACTTCTAACCTCACCTCACTCCAACCCCAACCCAACTTGCGATTGTTAGAGGGAAAATACTTTGTTTTTCTTCTTCTTCCATTTTTCGTCCTTCATTAAAAAACAAACCGTCAAACAGGTGGAGGTTCATTGCTGTTGCCCTCTTCTGGCAAGGGTGCGGTAGTAAGAGAGAGCAACATCTGAGTTGGGTGGTGAGGACCCTCCAAGTACCCACCAAGGCGTGTGTCAGATAGAAAAAGATCATGACTTTGATTCTTGTACTTTACCCATACTGTGCTTTCTGCAAGGACAGCTTCCAACTGGGCGCCATACAAATGATCCTGAATGCTCACCATAGTCTTTAGCGTTTTAATGATTAAAGCCCGTACTGCCGCTGGAGATTGATCCTTACATGTGTCTGGTGTAACGCCGTCTCCAAGAAGCTGTAACAAATACTGCGGCAGTCGATTGCGAAGGGCAAGTCGGATCATGTTGACCAACCCCGAAGACCGCAAGAATAGTCGATCCATGGTATCCATGATCAGTGGAAGCTGTAGCATATGTGCCCGCAAACAGATAATAAGCGATGAGACAGGGTCGAAATTCACAAGACTTTCAACACACAAACGGGAGTCACATATCTCATGTACCCATTTTAAGGCATTCTCCACGATCACCTTGTCTTCCAACTCCAATAACTTAAACAACTTATGTGCATACCCAAGTGGGACAACATAATCGGCCACAGTGGGGGTTGTCTGCAACAGACGAACACCAGAATCAGCAATGATAGAAATCAGCTCCGCATTTTGCTCCCCCGTCGCTCGCCCACACTCCTCTACAAAGTGGTCCAATAGTTCTGCAAGGAATTCCTTGGGTTTTCGCACTTTCCACCCCGGCTGATTAAGGTACCGTTCCAAGTACACTCCACCAAGTTGCAACTCCTCATTTCTTTCCATCAGAATGTTCTCTGGAATCTTCCAATAGGCCGTTGGATCATGCCGTAGTAGAGCCACAATATCAGATTGGCACGCTGTACAAACCTCCACAAAACGTGATCGACGCTCCTTTGTCCACACCAACTCTGGTGTTTCCTGCCAAGTGTCAAATAACTGGCAGGCATTTGCGATATTCTCCTTCATCATTTCAAGCATCACGGAAGGAATAAGCTTGGAGGCTCGCAAAAACACCTTGGGTCCACATAGCTTGTCTGAACAGGCCTTTGCAAGAGAGGCACAAACATTATCTCTGCACTCTAGCAAGGTGGTGGTCCCAAAACTACGAAGCAGCACAGCATACAAGCCTCGATCCAATGCTTGTTGTACCACACCACGATCCGCCAAAGCAGACCGCAGAAACGCCAAACAATGTGGTTCCACCTTCTCACCACCATGATCCATAGCTAATATGACGTATGCCACGGCACAGTTCACCTTACCTATAGCCTGCAGGCATTCACAATGAAGGGCAACCTTCTCAAGTAGCTCCAGCAACTTGACAATAACGGTAATGTCTGTATATAGTAACCCCCTTATCAATACCTCAACATGATGCGTCAAAGTGTTCAAGACTCCAACTGTTGCATAGGCAACTAACAAATTTTTCAAAGCTTCTAAGGTTAAGGCAACACCAGTTGTGATGTCTCTTGTTAACTGATACTCCAGGAACTTGATCATGGCTTCACAAAATGCCACGGGATCCTCCACCACAAAGTTTGGTTGCTCATTATACATGCGCACAAACATTCCCCCAACAATAAGTTCATTCCTATGAATGGAGTAACGAACATCACAGCTTGACAAGGGTGTAATATCTTCGGTAAATATGCCAGCATCACGGCATTTTTCTGAGTTTGCTTTAAGTACCTCTATGAGCTCCTGCCGTGTTGTGTTGTCCCACATCAAATACGGCGTTCTGTGATTGCTGTTTAGTAGTTGTAGCAGTTCCTTCTCACCCCCGGGAAACAATCGCATTCGCTGCACAATGTAAGGTGTCAGTAGCTTCTGCAATAATAAGAAAACATCAGCGTTGGGTTTTGTCTGCATATACGCATCACTCGGACAAATTCCAGCCAATGCATAGATGGCCTTCAAGGCGTAAATGGCTGCCTTGTTTGCAAACAGTTGAGTATGATGTTCTTCCTGAAGTTCCAAACCATTCTCATTCAATGTGTAATCGTACCGAAATAGAAAAAGTAGCAAGTGCCAAATAGCACCAGAGTTCAAAAGCCTTTCCTGCAAAATCTCGTCCACACAGAAAGCTTGGCATGCCTGAATACAGGCGCGGGAGAGTCCCGGAGCCTTCTCATATGCGATGCCCTTGGCGACAAAATGGCAGATGGTAGGTTCCGCTATAATATGCAGACGACAGTCCGAGAATGCAGCGGCTACGCAAAAGGTAAGCATGCAATGCCGCACAATTTTCACCTGGTTTAAGTCATCAGTGGCATTTGGGGTAATCATCTCAAAACAGCGCTGGGTGACACTTGATAAGAGTTCAATGCCACCTTCTTCTTGCAACTCATCGGCGTTTAGTGGAACGTTTTGTACAGTAAAGTAACATAACTCCGTCGCTGGTTCCATGAGCACAACATCTTTGTGCAACATTTCTGGGTCACCGTACTCCATACTGACAAGCTTCAGCAGCAGCGCATACCCTGCATACTTATACTTCTTCATCATGTCACTAAAACGCCTAAACAGTATGGACTGTGTTCGAAGTAAGAGATCAATATTGTGTGGGTTTGGTTCATCTGACGCCCTCCCACCGGAAGCGAGAAATTCGTATGCCCGCTGAATGCGTTCAAACTTTTCCCTTCCCTCCAAATTTTTGTCCGGGTGATACTGCGCAGCAAGCCTAAAGTAAGCCTTGCGCACCACCTGCAGTGTTAGGTTGGTGCGGTCAACAATTTCAAGCTCCACCAGACACTTGTCTCGCGTGAGACCACTCGACTGCTTTGCAAGCTCACGCCGCCACGCCGCCAGCACCTCGCAGAGAAAGAAAACAGGATCTTCAACAGGCCAATTTGGATACTTCAACTCGTCACAGAAGTGTCTCAAGTAATACTGGGAACAAAACAGTTCATCTTGCAGCGGTTCGTACACAACCCCCACAATAGGACAGTACTGATACACAGCACGGTTGTTGCCCAAAAGTCGTGGTGTGAAGTCGGAAACGTGAGCAGCAATTTTCTCCACAAGATATCGTCTCATATCTTTGCCCCAAACAACCTCAGGTGTTTCGTATTCCCCAAGAAAAACATCTGCAAACCGTTCAGGTCCATGATTTGTTAGATAACACACGAGTGCTGGTGGGAGCATTGTGCTAAGGATACTTTGACGTATAATTTCATTATCGTGTTGAAATGGAAATGTCTGTTGACGATGGGACAAGTACAGCAGCCGACACAGCGACAGAATATCCGAACCAGTGTACATGAGTGCAAAGAAAAAAACACCAGTCAGGAAAAAATGCGGCATGAGCGGATTGTACTCCATCACAAGATACAAGAGCGAACAAACACGGGTACACAAGGCCGGGTCGAAGGTCAGTAGTAATTGCACAATATGTGGAAGCACTTGTGGACTTGAAAGGAATCGTTTTACCCGAGGAGGAGGCCGCATAATGGCGCCGTGCTCATCTTTGGAGGGAAAAGATGCACAAATTAGTAAAAAGATGTCAAGGATGACACCAGATACTTCTGATAGCGTAAGCAGTTTATTGCTTTTACATGCCACAATACCCCAACGTAATTGGGGAACATCCTTTAGCTCCATCCAGCCTGATAATCCTTGCGCCCAAACTTTTGTGTCATTCCTCACCTCTCCTACTTCATACAATTGCTTCAGACGAGTGTAGGAGACAGGATCCTGCTTGACACCATCTTTTGTGTAGTACCACTCTTTTTCCTGATCCTGAAGATCGATTGGACTAACATTGTGCTCAATGGCATTGGTCGCGCTTTGAAGCTGAGGTCTGTCCACGTGTAGATGGGCGAGCATTAAGAGATCCACGAGTGGTTTTAATCCACCGCAGTCTACGAACAGTTTTATGTTGGGTCGAGCACGCAGCAGCTGTAGGATAAAAAGAAGCAAACGGTCCCGAAAGATGGGATCCGTTGTTGTCTCCAGCATCTTCAAAATGTATTCCACATCGTTGAATTGTCCAATTGCCGTAGAGTAATGTTCATATAGAATCGACATGCCATGCAAGCAACTCATCTTTGTTTTGGTTTCTTGTGAAAGGAGAAAACAATGATACATGTCGTTAAAAAACTCCTTTGGATTATAAATGAGTGGATCTTTCACCTCAAAAAGTAACCGCGGGTAATGCTGCCCAACCTTCAGCTCATTGCCAAGACTTGGGTATCGTACCTCAAATTCTCGGAAATTCCATGAAGTGAGGTCTCCTTGGCTTAGTGACATCTCCAGCTTTAGGGCCTGCATCTCGGCTTCTAAGGCCTCACGTAACTCCGTTCTTGTGTTGTGGTTCCAAATCAAGTCCGCCCGCATGTGATCTTGTTTAGCTTCATAAAAAAACATGGGCCAGTTCAGTGACGTCTTCACTTTCACCAGTCTCTCCCGCCTGACCACTCTTTCACTCCGCATCGTCAATGAATGCTGATTCCCACTTCTCGACAAAACCTCGCTTGGGTGAAACCGCTTCTTAAAAAATCCATCCTTCGATTCCCAAAATTCATCCGTCATAGCCACAACGCTTCTCTGGCGTTTCGTTTCCTTCTCATCTTCCGGCGGCTCTTCGGAGGATTGAAGGTAATTCAACAATGCCGGAGGAAATATACACCGCAAGAGGTCTTGCATGTCCGTGTTTTTGTAGGTCCAATACGCAATGAGTTGGCGGGCAAGATCGCGTGTTTCACGGTTGTTACCAAATATGGCTAAATGAAGCTGGCCAAGAATGCCGCCTTGTCTAAGAGCGGCAAGCTGCATCTCATGGAACTGCTCATTTGTTCCCTCCTCCATAATAACACGAATCAACTGTCCAACACTGTAACTGATGGCATCGCAGCTATGGTGCATGAGTACAAGGAGTTCCTTCCCTGCAATATCAATTAAGTTTTTCATCAAAGTGACAAATAACGTGGATGTCGTCGTCTCAGAGTAAGGCGGGCACAAGGCGTAGACGAAGAAATCCAACAAGGCTTGCACAACAAGGGCCGCGCTATCAGCTGTGGTGTAGTCGTGTAACAGCCGGAGTAAATGCTGTACGAGTTCTTCTTGTCCAAGAAGATGATTTTTGTTCACTTGTTCATGGGCCAGCTCATAGTGGTCGTGATGTGGCGTCATGAGAACACCAAGGAAATCAATTACCGCATGAGAAACGGCAACATCATTCATTTTTAGTGCCCGCACACTCAAAGACTGGATGGTTTTCATAAAGGACGGCACGATAGCGGCAGAGCTGAAACCAATGCGTGTGACGCATAGTCGTCGGAGGGCATAAAACTGCTGCACCACGACCAACGGATCATCACTCAATGGAAAGTTATGTAATAACGTGACAAGTGCTCTACAAATCATTTTTTCTCGGTTCTCTGCAAAGAGTCCCTCACGATTCTCGGTAAATCGAAGTCCACTGTACTCGATGTTGGCATTAAAAAATTCCACCACCTCTGGGACAGTCATAGAAAACGTGCCACCGCCTTTGCTGGGATCAATGAGGCAGTTCAGTAGTGTACTCTCAATTTCCTCCGGGATTGGCGTAACGCACGGCGCCGCGCGCTTTCCACGATCAAAGAGGTTTGTAATGACACACACGTTAAAATTGTGGGCCACACGACAACAATCCACGAGGTGTGCTAGCAGCGCATCTCGCATCGGGGACGTATACGTCTTCGTAATCTCTGGATCTTTGAACTGAATCATCAACCGCTGGTTATCCTCCTCAGAGCGCACAAGCGCATAAACGTCTGCGAAAAAGAAGGCACTGACGGGAGTGTACGTGGCCGAATCCAACTCCAAAATCCATTTATGCGTTGTCGCTAAAATGCGCCGCACGGGACCGTCAGGGTGTTTTAAACTCCATTTAATCACATGGAACTCAGCCGTTGGCGCCAACTCCGCCCGATCCACGCCAATACGGTCGGAGTCAAATTGCTGCTGCGTTAACTGTTGCACTCCACGGAAGGGCGGGAGACCGATAAATCGCTTCGCAAACTCCTCAGTAAGGGATACCACCTGCTTCGGATCATCCATTTCATACAGATGCATCCTTAACTGTGGACCATACAAGACAATAAGCGTGCGTGGATTGTCTAAAATTGAGGTAAATCCCTTAATGTGCATAAATAAATACACTCCCACCACATTTCCATCGTGGTTCAATTGCTCTACGGCAACGTTGGTGACGCGAAGACGACAATCGCGGTATTTCTCATCAAAACAGTACTTGCGAACAGAAAACACATGATCAAAGGCACGCTGCCTGTACCTCACATCAAATAGTGTGCGGTTTCTTTGTACATCAGTGAGCAACGCCGCACGCTCCATGACGGTACTACACTGAAAGTGCATTGTGTCTATCTTACCTGTTCTGCCTGTGGTGACCGTGAAATCCGTCATACTACCCGCAGACGCCACAACATCGATGAGCTGAGACGCGTAGTCCCAGCTGTTAGTAACGCGGAAGATGCTTTGCGGGTTGATTGTTGCCACTTGTTGAGGCCCGATACAAAAGATGCGCACGTACTTTCCTCTCCATGAGTCCTTTACAACCGTATAGCGAGATGTATACTCCTCAGACGACTTGCGTCTTGCGGTTTCACAGCTCGTCAGCTGAGGCGCACCTAACAGAAGAGCATCCATTTGGCGAGAGTACTGGTGGCATACAGAAAAAAACAATATATATCACAGTAACCCAAAGAGAATAAGAAAGGCAAAAAAAAAAGGGGGAAAAAAAAACAATACAAAAATAAAAACAAAAAGAAAAGCAAAAAATGTGCTGGAAACCGAGTGATAAAGGATGCAAACATAAATAAAACAAAACAATAAAAACAAGTGAAAATCCAGATACTTCTTTACGATGGGCTGTAGAAGGAGTGGGGGGTCAAAAAATGTAAGAAATGTTCAGGTGAATTTGCCCCCATTTAAACGCATATACAGCAAAGGAAAATAAATGAAAGGGGGAGAGCACGTTAGGCCCTCCTCACACTCCACCTCTCTGTCTCCGCGTCAACGCCGCCTTGTACATTGCTATAGATGTCACTGCCACGGATGCTGACGCGACGGAAGCAAAGACAGTCAGTGATTTCCAGTTGAGATTATGAACCGTCTTCGTCACCTTCGCCAAGAGCCATTCCAAGCGGCTGCGCAACACTCGACCTCTCACACTGTACTTTGTCGTAGAGGTGATGACGACAGTGACGGTTTCCCCCAATCTGCCTTCTTGAGGGTCCACAAGAACCTGCACGTAGGCCTTTGTATGCCCCACGAGATGGTGCTTGTCGTGCGCTGTTTCCAGAAGTGCCACAGTGTGTACTTCGCCAATCATATGATCAAAGGTACGATAAGAATTAAAAAACTCCGTGAGTTCCGTCGTACGCCGCTTCGCAACCTCGGTGGGTATTTGTTTCATGGCCGCTGCAGGTGTGTTTCGACGCGGGTAAAAACGGGTGATGTTTAGAACAGGAAAGCGGACTTGAGCACAGACGTTCATCGTATCCCGCCACTCTTCCTCTCCCTCTCCCGGAAACGCACAAATAATGTCAGTGGCAAGCGTCACATTTGGAACCACGCCGCGTATGCGATGCACACACTCATAAAACTCTTCAACGCTATACTCCCGCTGCATCGCCTCCAAAACGCGATTGGATCCGGACTGTATAGGAATATGCATAAACTCGTACAAATTTGGATGCTTAAGAAGGGCTGCGAAGTCGTCCAGCTGCCGTAGGAGGTACGGCGGATTACTCATCCCCACACGCAGCATGACATCCGTCCCCTCAAGCTCCTTGACAATGGCACGCAAGAGGCAAACCAAGTCGGTGTTAATGTCAATGCCATAAGCTCCAACATCTTCAGAGGTGAGGCGAATTTCTTTTATACCTTCTCTTAAAATTGAACGAACCCGCAAAATAATGGACGTGATTGGCCAGCTCCGCAAATCCCCACGGGCCTGCTTTGTTTTACAATATGTGCAGTGATTCAGGCAACCAACGCTTATGGGAATAATTTCAATAAAACGATTACGTCGAATCTTTGGGAGATCGAGTGGTGGAAGTTCATTGGTTTCTTGTGTCTTAATGGTATACTCACTCGCTCCAATGAGACGCACGCAGTGACCTTGCAGAGCTTCATGAATGACCTGAGCAACGCGATCGATGCTACGGACACCAATCACACTCACATCATCCCACTGCGTGTTCTTCGGGTCCGCCTGCGGCACACATCCGGCGACGACGAGAGGCTTACCGAGGGCTCGCACGCGATTCATCATGCTAATGAAATGCTCCTCGCTCGGGTTCTTGACGGTACACGAGTTGAGAAGATACACATCCGCGTCGTTGAAAACGTCGGTGATGCGGTAGCCAGTCTGCGCCAAAAGCCCTGCCATGTACTCGCCATCACTTACGTTGTGGCCACATCCAAATGTATGCACAAACACGGTTGCATTGCCAGGAATACCATCACCGTAGTCTTCACGCTGTGCCGGTGGCACGTTGCGCCGACGAGCATTCACAAAGACAGAACGTTCACTCGCTATCGTTGGCGCAGCATCGACGCTGAACGCATCCTCCATGTCCGCCTCCTCCATGTTTCTTCCCCCTTCCCTCCTGCTTCGCGGTAATTAACTACGGCGCCCTCCAAACAACAGGCGTGACAAAAAATAACAACAGTGAACACACAATTTGACACCCACACACACACAAAAGGAACAGCGACGGCTGCAGAGACAGAGGGACCGGCGGTAGTGAAATATATATATATATATATATATGAGACAAAAACAAAAGAAAACACTGAGAACAGTGGCGATGGTGATGACGATGCCAGATGCAACGATCATAACAAACAGGAAACGAACATATCTTGCCCACACCACACACAATTACTGTACAGCAATCAATGCTTAAAAAAAATAATAATCACAAGAACAGTGTGAACACAAACAAACATACTACGAGGCACGGAACCTATAGTTTTTGTCGTGTGTGTATATGTGTGTGTGTGTGTCTTGTTGTTTTTTAATTCAGTTTGTGTTTTGCATCTCAGACACTTTTTACGCGCATGCATCCTCAGCCTTCATTTTTTTTTTATTGTCTTTCTACTGTACTTTGCGCGAGCGGGATCTGCCACCTCGCCAACGCCTACTCCTCTAAAGAAAAGTACAGTTTCAAAATCAAAACCGCCATAAGACAGAAAATGTCCGCCATAAGTAGCAAAATCAAAAAGATATCCGAGCCTAAAATAAAGAGAGTAAACCGCCTCGATTTGATGTGCGCCATCTGTTGCACCAAAGCTTCGCTTTTGGCAATAAACCATAAAACGAGTTGTCCCGAAGGATTCTGCCTCTCTATGAGTTCATGATAATCATACAGCCACGGCATCTCCCATAGGAATTCAGGTGTGTCACGCAGTGCCGAGATAGACATGCTTGCCAGAAGTATTTCTCCTTCGAGGTGCGCTATTTTGCGTCGCATCGACAAATAATCGCAAAGACCTTTAATATCTGCCGGAATCCCCAAGACTTGTTTGTGCAGATTCTGCGTGACGTTGTCAAAAAAATCAACAACGGCCACATGACCAAGTGAATATGAGACTGTAAGCATAATTTGTGTGCGTATGGGTTTCACATCGGGTATGAGGTAGTGATCAAAGCAAAGGTTGGTGCCAAACCGTGCAAGAGCCTCTTCCCTGCGCACTGGCGTACTCGCGTCGTAGTGCTTGTCTAACTCGTAGGAACACCAGAAGGGAAACAATTCATCTATTATTTTCTGTGCATGACGTTCCTTCACTGCAACCCGCACAAAAGAGTTGGCGGAAGTCAAAAAATCGTCTTCCACCAACCAATGATCTCGTCGGCTCAATCCCCACCACACCACCACACCGTTAGGAAACAAAAAGATGTCAAAGGTACGATGGGAAGAGACGTGAAGAACACCGTACATAAGCTCCGTAGCATAGCCGCGACGTTTATAAATAACAGCTAGAGCATCAAGGTCAAAAGCGGTGGCAATGTAGCTATAGCTAATGCTGCCTATGCCACTGGAAATGTCACGGGGCCCACGATGATCGCGCACTGCACGACGACCTCTTGCTGTTTGTAAGGGGCGACGCAGCGTCACACGGTCGTATACTGGTGATACGGCAAATATAGATTGATAACCTTGCAGGTAGTCTAGAACACTCCCATTCGTCGCTTCAAACCGCTCAGCCCACCGCAGCGCGTTGTGGATTTCTTGCAGAGACACACTAGGCGAAGGACTCTTGAGAATTACATCAATGACAAGATTGCGTGGATCCTCTGGAACTTCATATTTCATTCTCTCCATCTTGGCGCTGTTCGCTTCCGTGGCGGCCTCTGGCAAGCGAGTAGATGCTCTGTCGGCGTGCTCATCGGCTTGTCCCCGTACTTCTACTACCACTGCCCCTTCCTGCGGATTGAAACTGCTTTGCTCAGTGATCAACGGAGTCAACGTTTCGGGTCCTTCAAGGTGGGAAGAGGCAACCCCTTCATCAGGTTCCCCATCACTCTGCCGTTGTTGCTGGGCCATCTGTGCCGTGTATTCATCACTGTAGCTCCCCTGATGGAGGCACCCTTGATCATCATGAGCTCTCCACTCTTGCAAAGACTCATTGGAAAGGTTCGAGGTGACCGAAGAAGAAGCTTGTCTGGAAGAGGTGCCTTTGTTAGCATGAGGATCTCGATAGGGACTTTGGCGCTCGGCATGAAAAAGCCTGTCAACTGAAGTATCAGTAAAAACGGAACCGCAATGAAGCGAAGAATTATCTCTCGTGTGATCCAGGCGTCCTGTGCCCCTTGACTCAACCCATTCTCCACTGCTGCCATTGCTGTAGAACTCCGCTTTTTCGCTTCTACTAAAATTCACTGACGACGTCAGTGACAAAAGCCGAAGTGACTGCTCTTCCTGCTCGGTACGCGCAAAGCCGCGGCTCTGAGAACTGCCGCTGGAGCCTGAGGCATTATCAGACCCACGCCTTCTGTCCATACGCGCTGGCGCCAAAACCAATGCAAATCCTAACCTCACAACAACAAAAAAAAAAAAACACAAGGAAAAAAAATCGTTGGAAATCAACGTTACAAATTTACCTGAAGGAATACAAGGCAAGAGTGGCCAATACAAAAACAAACGCACACACACAAAGAAGAAATACAATTTTTAGGCAACAAGACCACCTCAGTGAGGGTCCCTCATGAAAGAAACACACAAACACACACACAAACACCACGGAGAGAAAGGGAGAAAGCAACGTATTTTCCCCCACCCCCCACCTCACCTCCCCGTCCTCTGTTATACGCAGAGACGGAAAAAAAAACAAAAAAAAAACACTCCTCAAGCCGCTCCTCCCTCATACCCCGTGCATTCAACTGCTTACTAACAACGGTGACAACAAACGAAGGACAGGGCTCTCTAGTGTCACATATACTCACAGATTCAAGCTAACATCAACAACTACACATGTACCCCTTCCACAATAACTTACATCCTCGGAAACATACTCTAAAGCTAACCCAACATCAAAGCCAGAACGAATAATAAACAATAAAAGCTCCTCTTCCCATTTCTTATAGAACCCCCACCCCTACTACCCAATTTCCCATCCGCGTTTACTAACACTTCACGAGACGCACCTGTAGTTCATTCAATCTGCATCCATAGTAAGTAATCCTCTAATACTTTCCCCAGACTCCTCCAGCACAGAAGATATATAAAAAATAATAATAATAAATAAAACCAATCACCTAAATGAAAGATAATAAAACAACGTATTTGCTGCTTCTCTTTCGTGTGTTCTTCCAAATCGCATACATGTAAGGTCCTGTTTAATATCCAAACCCTACGCGAGTGCTGTGATACGCTGGAAAGGGGAAAAGACGCCAAAACTAACAGCCATCATTGGTATCTCCTTTCTTAGTGTTGGTGGAAGGCCCCGGCATATGGCGGAATCATGAATGACAGTCTGTTTGTAGGCAAGTGCAGAAAACGGGTAACAGACTGTTGACGCCACACCAGCGGCAACACCGCCAAGCATTCTGTATTCCCAAAAGCCACCGAAGCGTGGTTCTTAAGTTTGAACACATCTTTCCCCTTTTCATCCTTCTCTATATTCATAGGAATAAGTCTATTGCGCTCACAAAAACGGCGAAGCCCTTCAAAAACGGTCATAAGCGTCCCAAAATAAACGGCATTGGAGAGCAGCGGGGACGTAGTGTAAAAAAAAAAAAAAAAAACTTAAGGCACCGTCCTGCTTTTGAAGATCCTGCATGTTGTTAGAAACGAAATCACCTGTACAGAGATACTCATCTCGCACGCGATTGACAGGATTACAGATGAGGCGCATCATGAAACCCGAAAACGTCCCAATAATGAAGGTTGTGAATGCCTTCAATGACGGATCTCGCTCGGCATCAGGCAAAAAATGCGAGGCCAATGGGACATAAAACCACATAAGTACACCAAATTGCGGCATGCGTCGATAACGCGCTTGCGCACGCCCTTTTACACACCCGTGATCAAATGGAATTGCCGCCGCCCGCCCTGCTAATCCTGCTAAACCCCCACTGAGGAAGGCATATGGGTCAGTGAGGCAATGGCACTGCGCCGCTCAATCTTATGTAGGCGATCCAGAGTCTACCCGGCTCTAGTAAAGAAGACAGTGAGGCACATGGGTGAGGCCTACTACCACCTCCCCCCTAACTTAATCGACAGCGCCTTTACTATCCTTTTCGTTGAAAAAATTAAACACCACGAAACCACCGCCTCGTAAGTGTTCCACAGCCTCTATATCCTTTGCCTTTGACGCACGTTCCGAGGGCCAACAAAAGACGGGAAAACAAAAAAGTAAAACCGTGCGGGCAGAGGAAAATAAATGTATTTATAGAATACTACAGGCCTCCAATGTAGAAGGCGCACGGAAAGTGTACCCAAACCTCCTTCTTCTTCCACAACCTACTTAGCAAATATTACGGTACATCTTATTCACGGTGCGATGTATATATTATGGGGGCTTTCACTCACTACGTGCATCGAGCGAATTCCCTCATCTTTTGGGTTGCTAGCCTCTTAAAAACTTTGGTAATACGCACAATCACGCATGCACAACAAAACACACAAAAAAAAAATATCGCCACATTAAAGGCTTACTTAGCGACGACAACAAACACAATAGCACATAAATCAGCAAGCACGTCCTCTCTCACACTGCTGGGTGAGAAATACAATCTCTCTCTCTCCTCATCCCAAATAGAGAAGGGCGTAGGAAACCACGTGAGATGTGTGTGAGTGCTTGCGTACATGTGTAAGATTTTGGAAGTCCTATCCTTCATGTTGTTTTCTAGTTCACTTTACCTTCTCCATCGTATCCCTTTAGATGCAGCTTGTTGCTTCGCAGATTCACCTTGAGCAGGTGCTCCTGATACTGGCCATCCTGGAGCTTCAAAATCTTTTGCGCTTCCTTGTTTTTCACACGCAGCACCTCTTGGCGCTCTTTCCGCGCCATTGCCATTGCCTCCTGGTCGGCCGCAAGAATCGCTCGGCGCTTTTCAGCTTGTGTGTCGCTTTCCTTCTTTCTTGGTCGAGGCACCTCGCTCTCCTTGCGCTGAGCTACGCGTCGAGAGTCAGAAAGGATCAACTCAGCGGTGTTGGGGTCTATCCAAGCACCGCAGTCGGCGTCAGCAAGGCTGATACTATAGAACTCGTCATACTCAGGGCCAAGAATAATGCGCTCATGGTTCTTTTCCCGCATATGTGCCCGCAGTGCCTCTAGAGAATCAAACATTCTCGTCTTTTCGCCGCAAACAAGACACAATAAACCGTTTGTTTTGCGAGCAAGATACTCCAACAGTCCTACCACGTCACAGCACCTGTGTGAAAGCGGTACACTAAACTCATGAATAGTTTTCATGTGCTGCAAGTTGGCCTCCACACCATCCGACAAGCGACCACAAAAGAGACACCGCACCTCACTGACATCCTCCTCACGTTCATCCAGTTGAACCTTCGCCACATTCTTGGATTTCGACGCCTGGGTGGGCGGTTTTGCCCGCTTTGCATTGTGACGGCGGTGCAAGCCCATTGCAGCGCTTCCCAAAGAGACACTCGTAAGGGCACTCATGGAGTCTGAATCACGTGCAATGATACGCTGCTCTTTCTTCATGAGATGCGCCGTTGAGCGAACATGGGCTTGGAGAGTCTGCACTGAGTGGAATGTTTTTTTGCACAGCTTGCAGGCAAAGATAGGCTGTTCTTCATCGTCGCCATCATTGTTTTCCGCAATTCGGATACGTCTGTATTCCTGCGTAGTCAGTGGTCGCTTGCCGTCAACACGAAGACGGACATTATTTGTATGATATTCAGACTCATAGTGCTTACGCGCTGCCTCGACAGAGTCAAAGATGGCATTGCAGGTCCAACAGTGTGGCACTTGGACAGACATCGACGCTTACTTATAATATATATGTGCCGTAATGTATTGTTCAACCCCCGTATATAGATAATGCACTTTACTTTAAGGAGGAAGATGCAACTCTCTGCGCTTGAGAAGCGGGACAATAGAAATTGCAAGTATTGTAGTCCCCTCCACTCGTCTCTCTTTTACTTTTTGTTGTTATTTGCTTCTGTGAGGAACTAAATTGACAAACACACATGCACGCACAACAAGATAACCACTATAAAGATGAAAAGCCCAGCAAAACCAAACACGTAAAAAGATTCCGCATGTTTATACGTATCCGTATCATTGACAATCTCCTTTAGCCCGATAGCATCAAACAAACAAAAAAAAAAACGTTACCCCTCCGTGTCTCCCTCACTCAAGAAACACATAAATAAGCGTAATGTCATAATACAAGACCACATCCCGCGCATAAAAAGACTCGTGAAGAACGGGGACGCGTTCTGTCATGTACGTCGCAAGTCTCTTCTCATATTTTTTACAGACAATATGTAAGCAAGCGGAAAAACAGAAGCAAAGAATCACCATCCCTACACTTCGCCAATCCCACCCACACGCTCTGCAGAGGACGGGGGACGAAGCAAATAGGAGGCCTCCTCCGACACACACAACAACCGACGACTGAGACGCGATAAAAATCCTCCACCTCTCCACCGCATTTGCCGACGCATCCGATTCCGCACGGCTGCCGTGCGAAGCACATCGCGAGGATCTGGATTTAGCGATTGCCGCAGAACCATTATTCCAAGTACAGGAAACACCAAAACGAATGCCACCACAAACGCTGCCAGTGAGGAGAACGCATTTATTGTATTATCCCACACTCCAAAGTATTGTAGCCGTGAAATGGAAGAGTACAAAGAGGTCGAGATAACATAGATGATTGGCATTCCAAATATCCAAAGCGCATTAAGGAAGGTAATAGAATGAGATTCAAATATCATCGTCAGCATCTGCGATATAATTAGAGCAGAGTATGCCACAGAAAATGTCACATCATTGGTGGCAGCCCATCCAGCTCCGGGAAATGCAAAGCTCGCGTCAAAGAGACCCGTCACCAGCCATAGCGTGAAAACAGATTGCACTGCACCGCGAAGCATAAAGACAAGGAAGAATTCTCTGATGTTCATGTCTGTGGCATGTCGTGTCATCTTGTAGAGGAATGTGTGACGTTCCAGAACTGTGCGTGGAGCAATGCGGTCCAGGCAGAAGAACAGGGTTTGAGGAAGCGTGTATACGCCGTTCCACAAGGTAAGACCAAAACTGTTCCAAAAAGTTCCTCCCGAGACGTACGTCCCCACGACATTGTATGCAATCTGAATGAAGCTAATAAGCATGGATTTATAGAAACTGTATTTAATAATAAACGCTGTACGCATGTAGGCTTGCTGACCATGTACAAAAACAAGTGCTCGAAGGTCTGAAAAACGATGTATAGAAAAATCAGCCGCGCGGGAAGCTTGCTGGCCCTCTTTGCCCATAATACCAACGCCTACATGAGCTTCCTGAAGCATTGCCACGTCATTTCCACCATCGCCAACTGCCAATGTCATAAAATTTCTGGAGCGGACGAAATGTGTCAGCGCGGCCTTCTGACTGGGGGTGACACGAGCGCATATAACGCACACACAGTTATCACTCAAGGCAGCAAAGCGTTCCTTCAATTCTGGTGTGTTGAGAATACGCTCTAAAACTGTACCACCTTCCACAACAAGTACCGAGTTGCTGTGATTGAAGATGGCAGGAAACGTAGTGTCACATCGACCACTTTCATTATTCATATCGTTCTTCGGATAAATAGCTTCTGGGAAACAGTCCAAACTACAACCTAGTTCATCACTGATAATGTCCGCGCCCTGATAAAAATTCCTTACTTCTCTTTCAACGACATTTGGTGAACTCGGCAAAGGAATGGACATCATATGTTCTTCCCATCCAGTACCACCATCGTTAGTACTTCCTGAAACAATGTAAATCAAACGGCTCCCTGGTGCGTACAATGTACAGGCAAGACCAATCTGCACGGCTGTTTGAATCTTGTCTCCTGTCAACATCCATACCTTAATTCCAGCTCGCCTAAAATCACGTATTGTGTCCTGAACCCCTTCCTGCAATTTGTCCTCGATAGCGGTAATGCCCGCAATTATAACTCCTGTTTCCATTTCTACACGTAATTGTTTTAGTTTCTCCTGTCGATGGTCTAGAACCAATTCTGTAGACCGCACCTTCTCTAGAAAATTGTTGAGGTCGTCTCTCGAAAGCGTTTTTTCTGCCACCAGTAATGTCCGAAGTCCTTGTTGCGCGTATGAATTTAAGTGAGATATTAGCACATCTATCTGCGATTCTCTGTTTTGCAGTACTGTGGAATTAAACTGTGGTGACGCCGGAGCTGTCATTTCAATAATACGATCATCCGCCCCCTTGACAAAGAAATACACCACACCTGTAGCCTTCTTCTCCACAATCACCCCCATTGATTTTAGTTCAGATGAAAAGGGAAACACATGGTGAACTATCCACGTTTCCCTTACTCCATTGACAGATAATACGGCTTCACGTGCGTCTCGGTGCAACAGTTGAACATTCAGACGGGCAGAACCGCGACACATCGCCTCTTCATCAGGGGAAGACGCTGTATACTGTGGTGGTGAAGTATCATTTTCAAGTGAAAGAGAATCGGTGTGCAGGGTCTCAACAGTGTTGCAGAGAGAAAGAATTATTCCAAAGTGTAATACGCGCGCATTATTTGTCACACTCACACTGGATCTTTGCATCGACTCTGTTCCTTCTTCGTGCAGACACAAGCGGTCATCTCCCACTGAGACGTAAAGCAATTCCATAACACTCTGTGTCAGCGTCCCGGTTTTGTCGGAAATAACGTAATCAACTTGACCGAGATCCTCAAGTATGTCAGAGTTCTTGACGCGGCATCCCTCGCTGCTTGGTCCCCCCGGCTTCATCGTTTCATCCCACTCGACTGTCAAGGTCATGCAGTATTTGCTCAGGTCCACAACACATTTAAAGGACACCGGGATCATAACCGTCGTCAAAAGGAAAAAGCGGAGTGGGTAAATGAAAAAGGAAGCCGTTGCTTCAGTTGATGGTAACTGCAAATACCAAAAACGTTCTTCAATCCCCTTGTTCAAAAAATAGCCAGCCACCCCAAATGAAAAAGCACTCACAAGCTGACAGCAAAATACAAAAATAGCATAGCGAGAAACATCCTGATCAATTTTTGACCACTTTACAACTGGAGGTCGTTTGTTCATGCTACACTTTGTCTCTTCCCCAGTATACACTGCCACGCATAAGGCAGCCTTAGTTCTTTTAAGCACACAGGACTGTGGTAAGAGATGGTGGTGGGACATGGGTAGACACACTGCAGCACTATCCTCTCGGCCCCCACTGTTATACGCAAATTCGGCACGCCCATCAAACGATTCAATAATGGCGGAGGGTGGTGGACACGTGAGCGTGATATCCTGCAACTTCTCAGTGAGTACCGTACAAGTGTCATGAACATGAATACGATTAGGAACAGAAGAAACCGGTATTTCTTCCTCTGTCGCACTATTGAAGGCGACGGCATGTGGGAAAACAATTTCGCGTGGTTTTAGATCAAGTTCACCGTCCAGGTTATCTGTTCGAATATAAACTGTGGACGTTGCCGCCACCACCACAACATCGCACGGAATTGATTCATCCTCTTTCAAAAGGATTACATCCCCCACACGTATGCTGTAGTTTGGTAACAATTTCCACGACGCTGATACACAGTCCAATACGGTGCGTTTCTCGTTGTTGTATTTGGCGTCCTGCCGGTGACGTTTAACATCATCGTACCCCTCCTTTAAGGAGGTGAGGGTGAAGGCGAAGAGCAATGGCAAGAGCGTGGAGAAAGGGCTAACAGGCGCAATCACAGAGACAAACTGTAGACATGCAACCAGTAAAAAGTAGAGATTCAAGGGCCTTCGGAACTGCTCATAGATGCTAAGAAACAAAAAATTGTAGAAGGTGTAGCGACTGTTAATAACCGTGTTGTCGGGGTACGCGGCAGCAACGGAGGAGTCTAGCGGTCGTATCTTTCGCACGGCCGAGGCGCGCCGTGCCTGTTTTACTTCCGTGGTACGGTCTCTTCGAACCCCGATGATGCTGAGGAATTTGCAAGCAAACCCTACTGTCATGGACAGGGCAAGAAACAGCTTCCACACGTGGAGGCGGAAGTGTGCCAGGCAGGAACCCTGCCGGTGCTCGTCGCTTAGAAAGGAAATTTTGTAGGTTAAATGACACGCGCCAAACACACAACGCAACACTCAATTAAATGCACCCGGTGCACGGCACCGGCAAGAACGACAACTTTCTGGGATCTTCCGTACAACACTAGGAAAGTTTGCGCTGGAGAGGGATCAGCACAGGCAATAAACCCTCCCCCTCGCCCAAAAACACAAAGAAAACTAAGAACCCATGGCAAAAACAAAAATTAAAAAATAAATATGAAGAAAAAGCAAAAACGAAAAAAAAAACTACAAAGATGAAGAAAGGGCTAAACATACACACATACACACACACACACACACACACACAGATGTAACTCAATGAAGAGGGTGATTAACCCTGCATATCTCACTTCTCTCAAGCATCTGCTCCTTCCTTTCTTGTTGCGGTTTGTTTCCCTCACACAACACACACACAACTGCTGTACGTGTGCGCCATTCCCAAAGACAAGGATAACATATGTTGCCGCCCACCACCACCTCCCCCCTTTCGACCTTCCGCATGCTTGATTTATCCACCCCCAAGTGCCCGTTTCACCTTAAGAGGATCTTTCATGAACTCACGACGCAAATGCTCACGCTGAACGCGTTCCATCTTCTTCTGCCTCTTCGATATCTGTGAACTCACCAGCGCTCCCCACCCCTCATCCACACGCACTGGACTCGACAGTGATGAGGGCCCTTGTGACTCTTCCACCCCTTCCCCCCTTTGTGGCTGTACTCGTTGCTGAGACAACAACGTCGTCCCACCCTGCGGCTGGCTTTCCGGGCGTCGCCTGTCATTTTCAGTGAGCGGAACCATTCCATTTGGCACTGCGGAGCTGGCACGAGGCGGCACGTAGCCATCCAAAACACCTTCAACATTAGGCACTCTGAGAGATGATGATTGAATAGGAAAGTTCGGTAAAGCCCCATGAGACTGTAGCACTCGCTGCAGCACAGCCCCAACACTATCTTCCCCGTCTGTTGCCTTTGAGTCATCTACAAAGTCCAGAGAAACATGAGTGAATTCTTCCTCATCATCGGCATCGTCGTGTAATATTCGTTTAAAACGCGATCGAAGCGCCGCCCCCCGCCACACTGGCTGAATGACACGTGCAGCAGCCTCGTATCGTCGTCGCTGTGATTCCGCATAGGCTGCCTTTAATGCCGCAAGTTCTCTCTTGGCCTGTCTACCAAGCAGTCGAAGGCGCGCCCATTCACAAATGACAACTTTTGCTTTAGCTTCTTGGTGTGCTTGCATCCGCTCATGGTAGAGGATAGAGCGTACGTGCGCATTGGCCACTATATTCGGCATTGTCTGTAGATATTTAAGGTGTTGCCGCAGGGTGGTCTTTGCTTCACGTCGATTTCGTTCATCAATCTCGTCGGAGAGACGATGCACGGCAGGGTTAAGACGCCGCTTTGACTCACGCATTCGTCGTTCCAACGCTTCCTCCACATGCAACGCATCATGATGGCGACGCCGGCGAACAGTGGCAAGAACCTCTTGCTCCCTTTGGAGAGTTGTCAGGGCCAGATCACTTGTGAGAGCTGCAAACATCGCGGCATACACCCCTTTCGAATCCATGTATTGCGAGTAGAATTCCATAGTACCACACGTTTGCTGTACGTCTTCAACAGTTGATCCACAAGGCCAATGCCAGGCATCACAAAGAGCACTTTCGTGAACTTGGCGCCGCAAACAACGGGCCATGCTAAACGGTGTAATCCACATGGTTTCGACACTCAAAGCAATTTTATGATCTTCTTCAGACACCTCTTCATTATTGAGCTCTGAAAGTTGGGGAAACCAGGCGATAAGCGTTAACCTTACCTTTGCTAGTGCCTCACTGCTGTTGTCATCCTTCTCAGAGGTAAACGGATTCTCACTAACATACAAAATTTGTAGCTTTTTGCACGCGGCGAGCGGTGAGAGATCTTCCACTTGTTGCAACTGGTTAAATGAAAGCCCCACAGTCGTAAGACGGGGACAGTGCGCCAGGCCGGATACATCACGCAACTTGTTGTTCTCAAGATGCAACACCGACAGAAAAGGAAGCCAGCGAAAACACTCACTGGGAAGCGTCTCTAGTTGATTCTCATTCATGAAAAGTTGACGCAGGAAGCTGAGGGACAAATTTTTTGGAAGCAGACCAATATGATTTCGTGACAGATACAAATTCTGTAGCAGTACATGTTGGGTGAGAGCATCCCACGTTACGAGGCAGTTCTCACTCAGGTCAAGAGTCTGTAGGAGGGCAAAAGACTGCAGTTCAGAGAGCGAAGAAATTCTGTTACGGCTCGCTTCAAGGGTCTCTAAATGAGTACATGGGGCCAACGGCAACAAAGAGTCGATATGGTTCGAATACAATACAAGTGAGCGTAATTGATAAGCAAAAAGTTTTCCAATGGCCTCTACGTTTTTCAGCTCATTCATAGAGACATCAAGGTATAAAAGGTGAGATGCCTGAGCTAAAGAATGAGTTTGCGCGTCCGAGACCCCACGCATGGATGCAGTGCGACACGTTAGATTCTTTAGTCCATTGTCACTGAGGCTCAAACGACGAATCGAGGGGAACACTCGAAGGAGATCATCGAGAGGCAAGGTGGGAAGAGCATTGCCGCCAAGGTCGAGTTCATGTACTAACGGAGCGACAGGTGTCATGTGTTTCTCTCCGCCATCTCCCACACCACCGGTTGTGCACACCTCCAGGGTGGAGAGACTCGCAAAGTCCACAGAGGCTATCTGCTCCAGAGCAAAGGAGAGTGTATGGCAAAGCTGCGCCGCCTCCCGCAAGTTTCTCTTAACACCACCAAAAATTATCGGTTGCACTTGCTTCGCCAACTTGGCATTTAAGCAAACGACGTTGTTGTCTAGCGCAGAATGCGATGCATCTGTCTGCACTGTAGAGAGAGTGGCAGGAACACTATTTCCCAGTCGAATGCCTGGACGAGGAGGATGCACTGTTTTCTCATCTAAACCGTGTGCACATTCCTCCAATGCACTTGTGGCATTACTTATATTCTGTATACACTCATGGATCCATTTACCTCTCAGGGTTTGTTCCCGCCGCAGGGACCGCAGGCGCAGAACGTTACTGACGGGCAAAGGAGACATATCTGCTTGTGACGTAGGAATAGAAACACATGATTGCAAACGCCTCCATGACTCGGCTGTTGTTTGTAATGCAACTTCTTTGGTCAATTCCTCGTGAGTACTGTACTTATCTTCCCATTCTGCTAAGTTCCAACACTGTAAAGTGGTAATAACGTGGGCGGTGCCTTCCTGCTCCTGGCAACGCAATAGCTCCCGTGAAAGTTCTTCCGCCTCCTGCGTAAGTTTCATTGCAGCTTCCTCTTCCATTGCCATAATTTCATGCCGTCCGCTTGCATGCTCTTTAAGAAGCTCACACACGCGCTGGGACCTAACCTCTTGCAGACGAAAACACTCACGTTGTTTGGATTCCAAAGTGTGTTGGCGCTCTAAATTAGAGAGCTCCTGATAAGCACTACATTCTTCCACAAGAAGGCACTCAAACATGTTACTCGCTTCTAACAGACACCTCTGCATTTCGTCCTGAATTCGTTTTGTCTCCTCCTCACACCACCGCAACAGACAAGCAGTTTTTCGCTCTTCCTCTTGCATACACCAAGCCTCATGGGTTTCGCAACGCATACGAAAGCCCTCGCGCTGCGCCCTCCTTTGAATCTGTTCGACAGCCAGCATCTCTGAAAGACCCTTCGCTGCTGCTACCGGCGTCTGATCTCCGCTCGCCGCCGACGCCGTTTCAACTTCTCCCCCCAAACTAAGGAGATCTGCTGCCTCCAATTTCACCTCCATTTCGTTCGGTGGCAGGAGTTGGTTCACGCGGGTCAAAAACGGTTCAAACTCAATTTGGCCGTGCGGGGCACGGCGAGGGTGACTGCGTTCCTTCCGCGCTTCTTCTAGCAGTTGAGACGCTGCCGTCTGCAGCTCACTGTCTTTTGCCTCCATCATTGCAATCGATTCCAAAATCTTTCCCTTCTGACTCATCCATGACAAGTGTGTTGTTACACGAGTCGACACCGCATCATGCACTTCTGCCACCCGAAGCGGAGGCAACACGAAAGCCTCAGCAGCAGTGTTCATCTCGTCAACGCCTCCAGCGCCCGCAAATTCGCTGCCTGCTGGGTTGCTCAGCGCAATTTCCAACTGCTGCTCACACTGCAGCACCACCGCGTCCCACTCACGCAGCACAAGCTGCTCCTCGGCTGTCGGTCCAAATTCATACGCAAAAAGACGTTTAACGTCCGTTTCTCCATTTTCGTCCTTGATTTCGCCTTCATCTTCGGAGTCGCTGTCACTCCTTCTGAGTGCAGTACATGTTGTGTTGTCGCAGTGAATAGGAGACCAGCGACGCTCCTCCTCCTCCGCCCCACGTTGTCTCTCCAATAGATATATTTCTGTCATGGGATCTACGTGGCGCACACGCTTCGCCAATACTTTATCTGCCTCTTGCAGAACTTCGTCTATGGTGGCCAGTAACTCTGCGTCACTCCCCTCATGTTGGTTGAAGTTTGTGGTGAGAGAAGCACCTTTCGCTTCAACTACACCTTCTTCCTTTTCAATAGAAGCAGAAGCAGCCGCACCAACAACAACATCCGACCCTTCGACAGACAAAGCATTGCGGGAGGATGTGCATGACACAGTCTTTGTGGCATCGGTTAAGACCCCATTGACGCCATCCCATAACGGCGTTGCGGTGGTGAAGGATATAAGGTTGGTGTGATGTAATAGAAGGCACTCCAAAGGCCAAGTGGAATCTACGTGTTGACAGGCTCTTGCGTTCGCTATGCCTGGGTTGCTATCCCCATCATTGTTGTCGTCATAACCCGTACCCGTAAGAAAAATGTCCCTTCGGCCGTTACTAAAAACACAGTTCGATGCCGCGGGAAACCCTAAAAGTTCATCATAAGGCCCCTTGACACCATACTCCACGAGAAGTGCAGCTTCCTCTTCTGTGATGGGCTCCAGTGGAGGGCACTGGTCGCCCATTCCCTCTGTGTTTCTTCCCCTTGTACTCAGCTACGACACCTTTCCTATTAACTGAAATGAATAACTTTTAAAACCCAAAACCACCACAAGAGACGTAGGAAATATTACATAGGGATAGAAAGAGAGGCGCTTACCTTGTGCATGAAGAGACAATTAATTAATTTGTAACATGCATTGCCATATAGGTGTGTCATGGAATATGCACAAACGTGTATGTAGGTATGTAGCTTCATGTTAGCCCATAGGAATCTGTTTCTGCCACACTCAAGCTCAATGCTTTTCTCCTCATCCACCGTTTTAAGTCTGCCTGTCTGGGTGTAATCGTATGAATGCATGCCTGACTGTGTGCGTGTGTGTGTGTGTGTGTCTGGAAATAAGGTCATGCTTTTTCAGACACATGACACATACACTCTGCAAGACACACACACACACACAGGCACACAGTCAGGCAGGCATTCATACACAACAAAAACAACCCTGGGCGCAGTAACACAGGATGCGTGCGTTACGACTCCAAAGCCCAAGCGTCAGTTTTAGAGAAACAAAGACAACGGGAAAAAACGTCCACCTCGTTCATCATGGTTGGTGTTTGCGACAAAGGCAAGGGTGGAAAAATGCGCTGAAATCCACCGCAGAAGTCCAACTCGTCCTGCAGACGAAGGCTCACTTCCTCCCTCGTCTCACGATCACTCAACGATAAGCTGTCGCGACTCGTGCTGCCGCGCCACCGATGCACAGTTTCGGCAGCTTCTTTTGAGAGTGGGTCAAAAAGGCCAGCGCAGCACACACCGTCATCCAGTGCGCCAAAGCACGATGCAGAACGCTCGAATGGTTCAATCATGGCCAGGTTCAGAAGATCGGCCACAACATTCGTCTTGACCGTATAGTCAAAAGGGGAGGTGCTAGCAAGGGAAGGCAACGTGTTCACCTCGACAAGCCATGGCTTGAGCTTGGCATCGAGCATTAAATCAAATCCGTAAAGCTCAAAAAAACCACCCGGAAAGGATATGCCACATGTGGCGGCAGTCAAACGAGGTTTGACAGCTAGAAGAGTCTTGATAATCACAAGTGCAATGCTCTCCTTCACTTTCTCTGACATGCGTCGGTGCAGCATGGAATTTGGCGGCTTTGTCTTCGGTATTATGCTCAGCGAAGGGGGATACATGGTATCAATGTGCACCCATAGTTCATTAAGACTTTTCTTAAGCTCTAACGGTGGCGCGGGCTTCGTAGCGGAAGAAAGGTCTGATACCGTATTCATCTCTTCTCCTTGACTGCAAGGCTGTTTGAGGCGTGTATGCCAGCGTTTTCCCACGGAATAATTTGTGAGATCACGAAAGGGATCAAAGCGAAATTCGGCACCACTACTGCAATATTCTTGCGCCGCCAGACGCACAAGACCCTCTTCATGAAGGTAGACGGTCAAAGGATCGTAGCTGGTCACAGCCACGTAAAGACGAAGATCGGTTTTGCGCCGGTTAAGCAATAGAGGATCCTCAATATATTCTTGCACAACATACTTACGCCCCCCCGTGCCAGAGAGTGGCAGATCCGTCAAAAGGCGGTTTTCAATTTCCGCTGCCAGACGCTCCCAATATGGTGCATTTTTAGCGCCACCCAAACAGGTAAGTATACCGTGGCCACAGCTACCACGTGCGGGTTTCCAAATAAAACGTTGTGTGGCTGGTGCCTCAGTTAAGACCTTTAAAAGTTCTTCTTTTTCATCTGGATACAACCACGTGCGTGGAATAAAATCGTAAGGCCCTGTTTTTTCTCCAGCTGCCTCAAGTGATTTAGAGGCATGACGTAAACACGTTGTTAGTCCCCACTTACATCCCACGTTAACATGACTGCGTGGGAAGTGATTAAAGCGTTGGTGATCGCACACCATTCGACCCACGTTGGGGGTCGCCACTTCCTCATTTTTCGCAGCAGATGACATGTCGAGAGCGATAAGATCAGCAGAAATGTCTGAATTTTGCGACATGCATAACGACGACGAAGAAAAGGACGCTGGTGCAGGAGGAGGGGAAGCAGAAGAATGGGAGGCACCCATACCAGAATGTAACAGCATGGAACGTCCCCAAAGAAGGTTACTCGGAATAATGAGATTGGCCTGAGTGGGAATGCGCCTAAAACCCGCCTTCAAAAGCGGCAGTCGCAGGGCGTAGTACTCACACGATGAAGACGTAATGCAAAAAAGCGGTAATGCCGTTCCAAGAGGCGGCGCCTTAAATGCGTACGCAGGCGGCTTATCACGCATTCGTGTGAAGAGAAAACTTGCCTTACGGCGTCGACTTCGGCTTGGCTTCAAGTAGACTGGTTGCTCTGGTGGAAGCGAGGTTTGCCTCCCCTGCTCTTCTTCCCCCAACCCAGCCGCCACCGCCACCGCCGCCTGCTGCCCCCTTAATCGATAACAACACCTCATGTTAACTTTTAAAAAAAAAACTTACTTGCGGATTATTACCCTCCTTTTTTATATGTACAGGGATCTCGTATGTGTGTGCGTGTGTACGAGAGAGGGCAAGAAAGGAAGAAGGAACGGCAAGGAAAAATAAATAAACAAAAGTTGTACGCCCCGCTCCTGCAGAAGACAATTTCACCACAATTATTCTCCTCTCAAGGAACAATAATACACCACACGTGCACAAAAAAAAAAAAAAGAGTTCAAAAACGATTTTATTGTGAGACAGTTGGTAGTCGACCAGTCATCCCCATTAACCCTTCTTCGTCCAGTCTGTGTGGGGCGAGCACCTTCAGCAGCCACTGCAGGTCAAACTCCTTCAAGAGGCCAAAGTATGGCGACCCCACGTACCAGCTCGCACCAAGTGGGAGTTCACCGGCATACTTCCCGTGACTCGTCAGTGGTTTGGGGAGAACACCAAGGAGTGCCCGGGCCGCCTCATACGCAGAACAAATGCGCGGACGATTTTTCTCAACAAAATCGTTCGCAATCGATATTGCCTCCACCTTGGTGAGGCTCTTCGGTGGTGGTTGCCACGTCAGTGTAAGGCCGCTCGTCTCTGTGGCTTGCCGTGCATCCCACTCAAGGCCTTTGCGCACCGACTCATGCGTTGGGTTCTGCAGGACGGAGAAGGTCATCTCAAGCGCTTTTTGCATGGATTCAAGTCGCCTGTGATGCGCTTGCCACAGTCTTTCCGCCATCGCCCTCTGCCCAACAGGCGCTGCCCCCTCCGAAAAATTGTCGCCAAGCGAGACGAGATACGCCGGCGTCAGCCGCTGAACCGAGACGAAACCACCCGCAATAAGATCATTGAGTCTAAACTGAAAGTCTCGTAACGACAACTTTAGCGCGTTGGCTGCGGTCACAACGTTTTCGATTCTCTTATTTTGTCGGCAGAGTTCAAACACCCCATCGAGTACCTCAAGCTGTGCCAAAACACCGCTGACGCCTGACGATCCCGTTGCCTCACGCCCTCGCTTTCGCTTTGTTGCATGGTCGGGGTTGACAACTACTTCTGCAGCTGCGTGAGTCACACGGTACCCCATCGGTGCCGTCCCCTGTAACCCATGCAACACCCCACGTTCCTGGGAAACAATCATAAAGAGAACAGTTTCTATTGTCTCTTCACTCATAATAAGCTCCTCTGAAATTTTCGAGACGGAAATCATCGTAAGCTTCTCCCCAACATGGGTGGTGGGGTTGCTAAGAATACACTGCACGATAGCCTCCATCTCTAACAGGGATAGACAGGACGCGAGGGTGCGAGAACGAAGTGTGTAATAATCAAACGGGTTGTACAGAAGGCGACAAAACGATTTTTGACCATCACGCCCTGCACGACCGGTTTCTTGCACGTAACTTTCAAGGGAGCTCGGCGCCGAGGCGTGAACCACGGAGCGGATGTCAGCCTTATCAATGCCCATCCCAAACGCCACGGTAGCGATAAGCACATCAATATGGTGCTGCATAAACTGCTGCTGTGTCTTTCTCCGTACATGGCGGTCGAGAGCAGCATGGTAGCTTCGAATAATGATGCGAGCATTACCTTCCTCGGTATGTAAACCACCCCTCGTTCTCATCTTCTCATGTGTGGCACTTGTAAAGATGGAGGAAGTTGTGCCATTTCCACCATTCTCCTTCCTTTCAATCCTCACGGTGCCAAGCTTGGACACAAGAAACGCCGCCAACTCATCGGCATCCACACGTGTCTGGACGTACACGAGCATTGGTTTTGGTAGTTCTAGCACAGCTTGCAATAGTTTATCCTGCAGTGTGCGCTGCGTAGGTGGTCTCTGACACCCAGCATTCAGTAGAAAAACTGACTCTAGTTGAATATTCTCACGGTGGTACGGCACGGTAACACTTCGTTCAATACGGAACATAATTTTGAGGTCATCAATAACGGATGGTGCTGCTGTCGCTGTGAGACACAAAAACGGGGGCGTATTTCTCCCTTCACCACTTGTGAAACCACCGCTGCCAAGACCCTCTAACACGCGGTGCACGTACATGAAGGAGGGTCGAAAGTCATAGGCCCATTGGGACACGCAGTGTACTTCATCCACACAAATAAATGCGATTCGACGGACATGTTGCTCCAGCACACTTCGCAGCTCACTGTGACGAACAAGCCGTTCGGGAGATACGAACAACAAATCAATAGAGCACATTGGGGAGGCCAACTCATGCAAAATCGTCTCCTCCCGCGAAGACGATGTACCAGAGGAAAGAATGGCTGTTTTTAGGTTTCCCCCACTGTCTATTTTTCCCGCCTGATCGGCCATAAGGGAAAGCAATGGAGACACAATAACCGCAAATAAGGTTCCTGGGGGCTCACTCTGAGCCCACGATGATGCGTTTGAGTGTTGTAGGTCTTGCCATGCCCTAAACTTGGCTTCGAAAAGCAGGCGATACACAAGAATGGGAAACTCAAAACAAAGTGTTTTGCCCCATCCTGTGGGAAACACCGCCAGCGTGTTGCGACCCTGCAGAATTGACAACACCACCTCCTGTTGGCCTTGACGAAACTGACCAGAGGCAACACCCAGATAATTCCGCAGAAGATAGTTGCATACCGGAATCGTCTGCAAAGAAGAAGCAGAGGAAGTGGCAGTCAAAGAGTCTTCAAAAAGAGACTCAAGCTGTACCTGCAGTATAGTCTTATTATCTTTGGTTTCTGCTTCCAGCATAGCTTCTGATGCAGTTACCTCATATTTTTGTGCGGCATTGTGAGCAGCAGGGCAATCTTCCACAGATTCTGCTGTGACCGCGGTTTCGCCTTTGCGGGGAAGGGAAGGTTGAAGTAAAGTTACTTCACCAAACGTCAATGATCGCGGCGGCGCCAAATACGGAATACACACAATCCCTTCTTCTTCCTCCTCCTCCTCCTCCTCCTTGCTATCTTTTTCTTTTCGATGCACTGCAGGGAAGTCACATGAAGAAGTTCCGTCACTATGTATGTCATCAAGGAAGAGTTCCACACTGCTATCTTCCATCGCTCCTCCTCGCTCTCCACAAACCCAATCGGACCACTAACAGCAAGTCCCCGCTTCCCCCACCACCTCCCACTCGCTGTTGTTGGCAAAAGATGCAGATGAAAAAAAAAAAAACATCATTCATTTTAATTCGCAGCCATAGTAGTAGCATTAGTGATATAGAATGAGAAAGAAACAAAAACAGGATAAAGAGGGGGAAGAAAAAACAATCCAACACGCTCTCATCAGTCTCATTTTCGATGTTTGACTTCCGTATCAAACAAGTTCATCCGTAAAGCAAACCGTGCTATCATGTGCAGAAGATGTCATGGTTTCGTCATCTGTTCCATCCCTCACCAACGCTTCTTCTTCTTCCTCTCCGTGATCTTCATCCTCAACGTTGGCGCACCGCTGCTCCACCATCACCTCTCTTGCTTTGTCACGTCGTCGTGCAAGCTGTACTCCAAGCATCTGTTCCGGGTCATGAAACGGGTAATGGTAGCGAAACCCTAATGCTGTTAGTGTGCAAACATTGTCATGCAGGACGCACAACCCCCGTTCTTGGCATGCCAACAACGCCTCTCGTCCGTTACAAAATTCAGTGCCGATCAGCGCTTCCTTCTCAAGTACTCTGGAGGCGCTCCGCACATTCAATGAGGGCAAAGGATCGGACACCGTCTCATTTGTCCCCATGGTGTAGTCAAAAAGGTCAAGAACCGCATTTACTCTTCTATGAAAAAAAAGACCAGAAGTTCCGCGAGACAAATAGCGCTCGCCTTCTTCCTTCCCTGCATCAATGTGGTTGCTCCTTATCTGACCGTCTGATTGCTTCGCCACGATTCGCATCACACTGTCCCAGAAAGAAGGACCCTCATCCACAATAAAAAACCGGTTTTCTTGTGCACCGTTCTCGGTTTCCCCGACGTGTGCGTCGCCACCACTAAGTCGATTATTGATCTGCTCATCAACAGCGTGCATGTCACTGGGAACCTTGCGGTTTCCCGTCACCACAAACTCCAATACATCATCGTACGTCATGCGAGGGAGGTGTGGACGAAGTGTCACCAACAGGTGCATGATTCTGGAGGGAGTCAACTGCAAATGCTCCAGAAACGATAAAATGCGAGAGTCCATGGTGACACGCTCACGATACCGCAACAAACGCTCTCGTTGCTCTGTCAAGCGCTCCGCCTTCGTCTTGGTAGCCATTTCTTGTAGAATTACAAGAGATTTTTGGCGTCTCTCCAATTGATCATGCCGTTCCGTTGCCCGCCGCTCTTCTCTTTCCCGTTCCCGTTCCTCCCTCACCTTAACAATGCGTTGAAGTTCCTCCTCCTTCATGCACCGACGTTTCCGCTGTTCTTCTTCAAAGGCTTTAGACCTCGATTTCAGCTCTTCCCTTTTCAGCATCTCGGCTAGCATCTGCAACTGTTTTGTCTCCTCCGCTTTATGCTTGTATTCCGCCATCTTTTTGTCTCGAACCTCCACGATGCCAAGGAGTTCATCTTGCAGCTGCAGGAGGCCTTCCCGCCCCGTTGCTGCGGCTGTTATTGCCACTGGCCTCTCCGCAGGATTGTCGGCATGCTCCGCAGTCAGCGCGTTGTGCAATGCGGGGATGAGAGCCATCATCAGTTGGTCTGCGCTCAGCAGCAGCTTCACCAGTTCATGACGTCGATCGTCATCTAGGAGACTAAAAACAATCCCGACTGATTGTGTAGGCGACAGAATAGCAGCAGGTGCGTAGAAGTCCTCCAGGCGTGATACGCCTTTCAGCCAAGTTTCAAGAAGTGCCTTGTAATCGTTTGGTGCCCACCGCGGTGAGGCGTAGACATCAGGCATTCGCTGGGCAACGATTCCGCAACACTCTAGTCGGCGTGTGACAGACACGGCAAAGCGAAAAGCAGACATCGTTTTTTGTCCCATCCATGACACGTGAGCACCTTCGTTCCAAGGGCTTATGATTGAAAGAATAAGATTCAGGTAGCTTTCCCACGTACAGGCCTGCGGCAGCTTCCCACCGCCACTCTCTGCAAGCTGGAGGAGATGAGCCGCTAGCGATTCCACAACGCACTCCGCGGAGGAGGCATCCGTTTCCACAACAGATGGTGGTGGTGTCAGGCAAAAAAGAAAAGCAAAAAAAATCTGCGATGCATTTGCAACAATAATCCATGGAATCCGCTTGGGCAGACAACGCTGACGGCGTGTTGTTGCGCCTTCCTCCTTTCTTTTTATTTCCCCCACATCCACTGTTTCCTGCGGTCGCAGTGCATATCGTCTTTCGTTTTGCCGTGAGCGAGGCTGTCAGCATCTCCAATACGGGCCTCACAGCCGCATGCGACACGGTGCACGCCACTTCTCTCACCTCCGTTATCGTGTGCCTCCGCCGTACAAGTTCAGCAAGCACACTGAGCGGTTTGAGGAGTTGTTCAACCTCAACTTCCGTTGCGGCGCCCACGTTAAGCAATAGCAACTGCACCACCTTCAATACGGAGATCCACACCTTCGCCTCCTCCTCGATGGTGAACAAGGACAGACTGTGCGCCTCCCTCCACATGACCAGAAGCTTGTAGAGAAAAACGTACACCACTAGGCTTGCAAAGGCCTCCTCACACCGTACTTTACGCTCCACGCAGTAGCGAAGGAGATCTGGCAATCGTTTAGGACCCCATTCCAGCAAAGGAACATTTGTAAAGACGGGTTCTGTGAGCAATGTCACACTCGCACCATGCATCTGAACAACGTCAACGAAAGTGTCAAGGACAGGTACATCCAGGCAGTGAAGAAGAGTTAGGGGGCGTAGATTTGTAAGCAGATGATCACCATACACACCCAGCACACGGGCAGCCAACTCACTATCCCTTCCAATGACTTGTTGAAACTTGGCTGGGGTATTAAAGAGTGATAAAGGCACCTCCATGCAATCGGATGGGAAAACCATATCCAATGCGGCGTTAAGCATGTCACTTGAAACAGCGTTAACCCCCATTTTGAGGGCGCTATGCGTATCCATCGGTAAATCCTTTTTGCATCCTTCCACTCGACGATTTCCCTTTAGTAGTTTCTGTTGCTTCGGCTGCACTTTTGGTGAGGGATCCATGCCGAGAAAAAAATGCATGGTATCCACATCGATGGCACCTGCCACAGTAAAAAGTTTAAATGTCACAGGGGAAAATGGAAGCACCGCCTTAGCGTCCTTAAGCGTCGATTGCAGCGGATACAAGGAGAGGGCATGCACATACATCAACGCCTCAATGAGAAGCTCCATCAGCACTAAACACGGTTTACATCCCTCAGATCCATTTGTTAAGGAGGCACAGAGTACCGGAAGCGTCATATTCACCTCAGGGGATTCGGCTAGGGCCACTATATGACCGTTATTTTGTGTGTGACGCAACATGTAGACAAGCGACTGCGCAAGTGAGCGGCACTGCTCTCGTGAGGGATTGGGGAACGGCGGCCGACCCAGTGCCTCGTCAAGCCGCCTAACGGTTTCACAAATCATTGATTGGATGACATCAAACGGCTGCGTCTTCCAGTCAAAAACGGCCACATCTGTCTGCATCCTTTCAGTTTCACGTTGCCCTCTCCATCCCGACAACCTCACCCAGAGAAGCGCACCACAGAAAAATAATTTTTAAAAAAAGGCCTAAAACAGAGACGCATTCATGGCACGTTGTCTCCTCCTCCTCCTCCCTTTCCACCACAGTGCAGACTAGGTACCACACAAGTAATGTAAGCACGTGTGAATACACGCCACTCAAAGTGGAGAGGAGTCCCTTCCCATCCCTCCCTCAAAAAA